TGGACCTCTCAGCATTGCTCATTTTCTGCAGAGCTTTTTTACATGTGGGCCTTGGCAGCACCAGTGCCTGGTTTTAGAGTTTTGCAAAGTGGACCATGATGTAGAACTGTCAATCTTTTCTAGATTTGGTGGCTTCTGAATAGTTCTATGGCAGAAAGGTCAGAGGGCTGCTGCTTGCTGGGGGCAGGGGCTGTGAGGGACCTTCCCCATGTCCCGAGTGTCAAAAAGGAAAGCAACCCTCTTCAATTGCAGAACAGAAAGATTTTTGCTGTTTTGCTGGTGGCAAACTGTGAGTGACTTGCTAACAGAGCTTGTTCACTGACTCCTAACACTGAAAAGCTTTTTACACTTCACTGTCAAAAGTTATGTCCTTCCCCACCTTGTCATCACACAAATTTTCCATTTTGTTCCAAAAAAGTTCTTTCCCCATCTCTCGGGATACCAGGCACCCTAGTCCCTGGTACTACTTTAATATTAAATTTCAGGACAAATATTTAATACCATTTCAAGGGACAGATTATCAGAGCTTCAGACATAACCAAGGGAAGAGTTGCCCAAAGCTCATGTGACACACGAGACAAAGGATCCTCAGGGCAGAACGTTCTCCATGGAGGGACTCAGCAAGTCAATCCCGTTGTTACAAAAGGCAGGTTTCCCTGAAAAATGTTGTAGCAGTCAGGGATTCCAGTGATGCAGATGATTTACTCGCAGCAGTGTTAAATCTTTCTGGAGTTGGATACCCAGCAATCCTAAAGGCACAATGTGGAGGAATCCCAAACACTACAGTGTGGGCATGAGCAGTGTCCTCCTATTTGCACAGCAGTTTTTATCTGCACAAAAGAGATTTGCAGAAGGACTCTGGCACAATGGACCATGAGAAACAGCATGTGCTCCAAAGGCACACAAAGCTGATCTACAGACTGAAGTATGTCAGCATTTTTTGACACAGAGACCACAGAAGGAGAGAATTATCAAATTGCATTTCCTCAGGTCAGGAGCAGGTTAAATTCTAGAGGGAAAATAGGCCTATCATAGATAAACCAACAGCACTGCATCTTGATGAGTTATGGCATTCTTTCCTGACTGCCAGAACAAGAGAGTTCAAAAATAAGTGGTAGCAATTTCACATTTTAATTGGCACAATTGTAGAAAATGCTCCTTGGCAAGTATCAGGTATTATGTCTAACAGACCAAGCATTTGTCTGCAACAGACTTCCTTTGTGTCACACAGGAATAAATAGACATGATGCTGCCTTATATGGCATAAGCATCACCTTGTGAGGGAGATGTGATGACTGTGAACTGAAGCTGAAGTTGGCAACGATAATGCAAACAAGAGGATACCTTCAGCATGAGTGCTGACCCCATTGCATGAATAGCACGATTCTGTCTCGTAATAAAATCCTCTGCTATTGTTTGTGTGTGCATAAAACACCCTTGTAGTGAAATATATACTCGTGTTCTCTCCCAGAAAACTGAAAAAGATAAATTAGTGCCCTCTTATGCCTTAAGGCCGGAAAGCTGCAGACAGAAACTGAGAAGAACTGGAGGTCAGCTCAGTCTGTTTCTCAAAGTTACACAGCACAGCTTCAGCTGCTGCTTCTTAATGCTGAAGTCTTGAATATCCACTGCCAAAGCCCTCTGTTCAGAAATTTTCAAAATTAATAAATAATTTATCCTTTCAGACCACTACTGCTTACCCTCCCCAGCATGACTGACCCCTGCTTCCATTTTCACCTTTCACATCCCTGAAGGCTCCTGTATCTGAGTTAGTTTTAACTTCCAGTGACCTTACGTAGTCCCTCTCACATTTGCTGTTCGGTGCTTTTCTGATGTTTCACATTCGGACTCTACATCACATCCTTGCTCTTCCCGTCACCGTCTGTAACTCCTGTATCTGAGTTAGTTTTAACTTCCCGTGACCTTACGTAGTCCCTCACATTTGCTGTTCGGTGCTTTTCTGATGTTTCACATTCGGACTCTACATCACATCCTTGCTCTTCCCGTCACCGTCTGTAGCTTTCCATGTCAGTTCCATACCGAAAAGGCCGCGGGCCGCATTTCAGTCCCCTTAGCCAGAGGTGAGGAGCGAATTTCTTTAGAGGTAGCTCAGCACCCTCTGCTGCATCCTCAGCGAACTGCAAATTTCCTTGCACATCAAGGACCAATTCCTCGCAAAAGCAAGGAAAATTCTGTGAAGACGCCTAACAGAGTGACATAGGAACTCCCATGCCTATTGGAAGATAGAACAAACCTTGTGTTTTCCCCCTTCTCCTCTTCTTAAAGAGTGAAATACCGAATATAGTATTTTCAACTTTTTTGAACAAATGATAGATGCATTGAACTTGGCAAATGACATTCCTGAAACTGTTTTTACCTTTTAAATTATTTTTTCTTACCTATTACTTTATTTAAGAGCCACTTAGATATAAGTTTTAAAAAAAAATCACATTATATTCAGTTCATTAAATTTTTTTCATTTTTTTCTGAACTGGGAAGCAAGAGGATGTCATTCAAAAGTGTTTCTCCTCAGCATGGATAGCTCCAATGCCTTTGCTTTCTTTCTCAAATTACATTGTTTCTCTTCAAAGTGCACTTCAAAGCTGTAATATTTCTGAAGATGAGGTTGTTGGATTTTTTTCTCTTCAGGATTAGACGATGGGCTCAAAGAGATCAGGCAATACATGTGAAGTAGAAGATACTACCAGACACTACTAAGTAGTTCAAAGCAGCAATAAAATAAATATCCATTTCCATACTACTACTACATTTTTTGATGTGATGTTCCAAGTTCTCATCTCAGCCTACAGCTACAAAACACAGTCTGCCTGTGTCCAGCTTTCACCACAGAAAAGGTAAACTGATGATTATCTGAACTGTTACCTGATTGTTACTGAATTCAAGTGGAAACCACTGTGGTGAACAGGAAACAGAAATCGTTCTGTTCTCTGTGAATATTTATTCACATCTCTGAATAACAGGGTGATTCTTTGTTACTGTGATTGTTGTAGATCTAGCATGTATGACTCTTTCCTACACAAATTCCTTCACACAGGGCCCATTTATATACACAAATTTTCAGCTTCATGAAGTTCAATTCTGCAGTTGGTGAGGACTTATGGAATGGGATGGCAGAGAAACAAAACCAATAAAAGCAAAGTATTCCACCTGGCTCCAGAATGCAACTTCCAGCAATTATAAAAGCTATAATATGACTTCACAGACTTGGATGATGACTCTGCAGTGTGACAGAACAGAGATTAGAGAGAATCCTTTCTTGGGATGCAAACAAAGAGAAAACCACTGGGGCAAAAATAATGTCAAAGATGGCAATCATGTTTTACCAGCCTCACTTCTCATGCTATTGAAGTTCATCTGGAATTAAAGGAGTTGAATTTTTTTAAGAGTTTCACTACACACTTGAACATGTCTGTGGCACTGTAAAATTAAATCTTTTGACTGGAAGTTTGCTCAGAAGGAAGCTGATCCCAGCTAAACTCTGAAGTATAAGAATACTGAGGAGGAGGAAACCTACCAACTTTCCCATGGTGCAAAAAAAGGCAGCTATACATTGAAATAAGGCAAATGTGAAGTTGAAAATTCCCATGCTAGAGCAGGGCAAAGATTCTTCCTGAGAAGAGTGGAAGAACCATGTGATGAACTGATTGTAACTCCCTTGCTCTGTTTCCATGCACTTCTTGGGGTGGAGGTAGAGTTGGGAAGGAGGGAGGGCTGGGGGGGAAAGTTTTCTTAAGATTTATTTCACTTCTCATTATCCTGATGTGATTTTCTTAGTAATAAATTCAATTAATATCCTCAACTTGAGTGTGGTTTGTCCATGATGGTGTTTGGTGAATTACCTCTTCCCAGTTCTCATCTCAACTCCTGAACCTTTCATTAAGTTTTCTCTATCCATTCACTTGTGATATGAGAAGTAAAATATTTCAACTCAAAATAAATTTGACATATATTCAGGAAACTTTATCTCAAAAAAAACAACAGCTTTTAGTTCTAGTATACTTAAAACAGTCCAGGTAAAGTTAGGGTGAAAACAAAACAAAGGCATTTGATGACTCAGTCATACCAAAATTGTGCCACATACACAGTGATGGAGGGCATATGAATCAGAGTTGTTCTCATATATTCAGGGAACTTTATCTCAAAAAACCACACCAGCTTTTAGTTCTATTATACTTCAAACAGTCCAGGTAAAGTTAGGGTGAAAACAAAACAAAGGCATTTGATGACTCAGTCATACCAAAATTGTGCCACATACACAGTGATGGAGGGCATATGAATCAGAGTTGTTCTCAGAAAAAAAAAATTCTGGCACCCTTCATTCAGAGTCTCCTGCTGCTATTCCTGTGCAAAAGTGCTTTGTCTCTTCATTCTAGCTCCCCCATTCCATTCCATTTTGGGAAGAAATCCTTGCTACCTAAATCAAATGGTGAACTTTCACAAGCACAGAACAGATACTGTGTTCTGAGCTCAGCAGAGCCTGCTAGAATGTAATATCCCTCAACACTCACCCCTCTTCAAGAGTGCAAACAAAAGGAAATTCATTGAGTAAGAACCAAACTTTGGAATTCTGTAATCAAAAATCCATAAAGAAATTTCTTTTTTTTAGGATTGAAGTCTATCTATAATGCTGTAAAGGCACAATGATTTATCCTGCAGCTCAATCCACTCACAGCAAAAAATGCTCATTCAACATATAATCACATCTTGCCTTAACACTTAGGTAATGAAGGACTTTTATTTCACAATATATTTGAACCCAGAACTTCGAAAAACAGGAATATTTTGTACTCTCATCTACAACTTCAATGGATGTTAATCAGAATAATCAGTGATGTTTTAAATACAGTATTCATGCTGAACAATTTGCTGGTTTATGCCAATTTGACATATTATGGAAGTTACAAAAATACTTTGATATCCAGAGACTATGCAGAGCTTCTCCAGATGCTTCTTAACCAAAACAATTCACAGACATTTGCTCATCTCTCTGCTGAACGTCCTCCTAAATTAGTTGATCCTAGAATAAAAATACAGGTAAAAATGAAAAAAAATAAACCTTGGTAAAACTAAAGTAAAGCTTTATTCTTGTAAATTATTTGGGGAATTTATATAAGGAAAAGCAAAACCATAAAAAATTTAAAAAACAACCAACACAATTGATGAAAACTTTTCTATTGCCATTTTCATGAATGTAAACGTGCTCCTCTGTATTTTCATAAAAGCATTTTTTGCCATATTCCAATTTTAGCTAGAAAAGTGAATCTCCAAAGCATTATTCTGTATATGCGCTGAAGTTAATTGCAATCATGTAGCCAAATGACATCTATTACTAAAGTTCAATGCAGCTACTTTTTTATAACATTAACTTCTCCTACATTATTTAGAGATCCTATCAGGTTCATGCATTACTTCACAGACTGCATCACTCTCCAGAAATCCCACAATTAAACAATTGTGATGGAAGCTTTTATGAGCTATAAGCCTTCATGTCTTAAAATATTTTTATTTTGATTTCATGAACTCAAAACTACTTGGGATATGTAGGGAAGTCACATTTATTAGCATGGACTAAAAGTGCTTTAGAGATAAATTATCTTTTTAATATAAGTTTAAAAAAATTCAATCGTGATGCAAACTCGGCAGTAAGGAGAACTAGCTTTGCAAGATGTGATTGGTCAGGGTGCTACATGATCTCTTCTAGGTTCTCTTTCCCAAAAAGGCCTGGACCATTCAAGGTGCCTTCTGACCAGGGCTGTTCTACAATTCTGTGACACTGATTCTGTGATTTTATTAATTAATCTGCCCCAGTGCAATTCCTACCCAAACCCACCCTCCTTGGGCTGATGTTTATGCAGCTGCTTTTGCTAGTTTTATGCTGCACTCAACAAGTAACACCCTGAATTAGCTCCCTTTTTACTGTGATCTGTGAACATTTACATGGATAGGCAGATCCTTAAGAAATGTGCAATTGAGACAGAAAACTTGGACATTACCAGATTTAAATCTCTGTTAAAATCTAATTCTGAAGCGAAGAAAGAACACATTTTTCAAAGCAGATACCATCCCATACATAAGACCAAGGCAAAATACAATCATAAACACCAACATCTTTCATATTTTGCTGAAAGCCTATTTCCAATACTGAAATATCATTTTTATTTTGGTTAATTTATTTAAGCTGCTATGTTGAAAATTTTTCAGGAAGAGGTAAATGCTAATTTATAAATATACTTGCCTTGTTGTCTTTGCAGAAGTCCAGAGATGGTGATTGGCTGCCTTGAGAGAGGCAGCTGTGGGGAAGGTGATGTAAATGGATACAGCTGAGGGGTTCTGAAATCAGAATTAGCCCATGATCCCCTTAGACTGCTCTGGGATCCAGATGATGATGGACAAGAACTATGTGGCAATCTCACCACAGGTGTGGATCTGTTAATGAAATTAATTCATGCATGTGATTTTAGGCTACTTCTATAACAATACAAAAGATTTCCAAATTACTTCAATTTGTTGTCTATATATTTTTCTTACTGAATATTTTTACATATTTCAAAAAGCAGACTGATCAAACAATTATGGAATCAGAGGTGGAAAAAAAGAAGTACTTCATTACACTTTCTGCTAAAAAGATATATTTGGCTTAATGATTATAAAGAACAACAGTTTAATTTTTCTGGAATGGTTTAAAGTTATTTATTAATGTTAATAATTCTCATAGTTTAAGACATTTTAAATGTTTAAATGAAAAAACCAGAAACACCTGTTGCAGGCTGCATGAAAAGTTCGGGTTATTCAGAGAACAGCCTTTGTGCAGATATTGTGCTTTCATCTCTGATTTTTGTAAGAATGATAGAGCAGAGACATTGTTAAATGTCCCCATTATAAAATTACTCCTTTTTTATAGGTGTACCATGACTGCAGATGTCAACAGCTACAGAAGCACAGATTATAACTGCACATTTTTGAAAAACATTATTTCAAAATAAAACTTTCCCCCAGAACCAAACATTCATCTATGCATAGTAACACTTCTTCAAACCTAGAATCTGAACATACAGATTAATACAGGCCAGAGGGGAAATACCATTCTCTTGTAGAAGATGGTAACCTCTTGAAAAAGTATTGAATTACCTTGTAGATCCTGTTCCAATACTCTGACTTGGCTTTATCAGAGCTATCTGAGAACTCCTGTAGGATACGCTACCTGTTGGAAGCAGAGTTTTGGAAACAGGACCAATGTGAATTACCTATTTTACTTAAGAGATAACTTTGGAAACAAAGATTAGTACTTTTATTGCATGATTTGGGACAAATTCATGACTGATTCATTCAAGAACTAAAAATGGTGCACAATTACAATAGTCAATGACAGGGCTCAGCTGTCACAAAACCATCATATTGCACCATCCCTGCAAATCTTGTTCCAGTTAAACACATGGTGGTTTCTTTCACCTTCTTTCATTTATTAGACTATTATTAGACTATCAAGACAGCTGTGCTGAAGTGCTTCAGTTCTTCAGCTGATCTTTTTTTGCCTCATCCACCTCTGAGAAGGAAACTTTCCTTAGTGCACCATTAAATCATTGTTTCCACTTACCCTTACTTTTGCACATAAACTTTGATTCCCTCAGCACTGTCCACTGCAAAACTTTATGTGAAGGTTCTGAAATCTGCTGAACACATAACTGTTCTACATAAAATTTTACTGTCTAATAAATATCTATTTATATTTAGACCCAATAAAAAAACCAGTTAACCTCAGCTCTCTTGTTATGCTTAAATTTATAGGCAACCATGCATTTAGGAAGGATCTGAGCATATAAATCAGACATAACATAGAAAAAGCAATTTTTCCTCCTCCATTGAAATTGCATTGCAATTGCATTTGTCTTTGTTTCAGGACACTTACACCATGTAAAAACACAAGAGTACTAAAAGTTCTTTATGTGCCTGCAGATAGATTCTCTGAACTACTGAAGGCAGGTGAAAGCCTGCCTGAGCACAGACTGCTGCAGAAACATGCTGAATGAAAAACCAAGAATGGGAGAGACACACAGATAGCAGGCCTGCAAAGCATCAGCAATTCTGGGAAAGTCCTCACAAATAAACAGTTCTCAAGAGACTGCACCAACTCCAGTAGGCTGTTACTCATGTCTTATTTACATCTGAGTGTTACACAAGCTCAGGGTATGAAGGAATGAAAGAAAGGAGTGGCAGGTAAAATGTCTTATACCCTATAACAGTGATAAGGTGAAATAAAATCACCTTTTTGAAGAAATTCTTGACCTCAACTCTCTCACTTTTCTTATTAAATGTTTTTTTGACTTCCAATTAGTTTCCCCCCTTTTCTTCATGTGATATTCAATATGACATTGTGGACAATGTTACTCTCTGTTCACCACAAATACATAAAATCATGAAGCTTAACAGAGGGTTAACAATGTATATGGCAAGTATTCCTGTTCTGTTGAATCACACATATAGTGACAGTATTTTCTTTGCAACTGTTGCTTTGGCAAAAAATTGGTTTGGTTACAAGTAATCATTTACTGAACAGAAGAGGTAAGTACTAGGAAAACATTTCACACTTCATTTTAACCATTTCCCAGCTACTGGATTGAAGTCCACCTGGGAAAATCCTCACACCTCAACACAATTCAATTTTTTTTAGTAAATTTCTAATGTATAGATTTTAATTTATTCATCCTCCTAATATAACAAAAATGTTATTCAGTTACAAAGTTTACTTTTACTCACCCATATGTCCATCCTGTGGTGGAGTTATTACTGATAATCTTGTTGGACCAGTTGGTGTCTGCAGCTAAATGAACAGCAAGTCATTAATCACAGTGTAATAAGCATATTAATTATTAAGACATTTTAAGCAATAGTGTTATATTTTTGAGGTCTACAGAGCCTGCAGATTTCCAGAAGTCTCTGCTGTCAGTTTTGTTCATAGCACTAAAATGCAAAACCTAAGAATTAAGTTCCTACTTTTAAAGGTCTATGGGCAGGTGGGAAATACATGTATTTTAGCTTTATTATTAGCTTTATTTATTGCAAATTCAGATAAGAAGTGTTATCAGACACTCTCACTGTTTTCTGTGCTGACATTCCATTTGCAAGCTAGCAGCTGCTCCTGGATGTTACCTCTCCTAACCAGGATACCAACACCATGAAAAGCTCCTGCTTTCATTCTCTTGTCAGCAATATCACTCAAAACCTGCAATTCCCTACTCAGGTACCAGGGTCTAAATGATGCTTTCAGACCAATGATATTTTTGTAATATTGAGATTTTAAGAATTTGCCATTTACTTTGGCATCACAAGTTTAAAAGCCTGTATATGGCATGTGGAGAATATAACTCCAGAAATTAATGTTGCAATTTATTTGCTTTTGGTTTCTTTTGGGGAGCATCTGACTTCTACCCTGCATCAAGCCTATCTGAAATCATCATGCACATCAGAATGGTTTTGAATGGGAGGGGGAGAATCTTATTTTTGGCAGCATTAACAGAGTAAGAGAAATCAAAAGGATTTATGTCTGTAACTATACATAAACAAGTATTAAAAAAATCCACTTACCTTCCTCATTGGTGAAGGTACAGGATCAATTTCCATTGCCTCCATCCTTGCCAGAAAGGTCAAAGTATGACATTGTAATAAAAATAACATTTTCATTATGAAGACTAAAATTATGTTAGATTCTAATGTTAAATTTCACTAGTAATGGAAAAGCATAATACATAATGCATAAGACACATAAGCATTTAGAACTTATTCCAAAACTCACTAGCAGTAAGAAAAATCTATTCACTGATTCTGAGCTTTGGTTTAGACATTTACAGAGTAAGTTATTTAATGATTAGCATCATTATTCTTCTATTTTTCTGAATAAATATGCATATTTATGTATTTTTCATTTGTATCCACAACAAGGGCACTCTGAATCTGTAGTTTTTTTATAGAAAAGAAAGTTACAATCAAAGTTACAGAAATATTTTAGGTTGAGCAAGCTGTATATTCATTTTACTAACAATTAAATGTGCCTTACCTGCAGTGACCCATCCCATCTATCCTGAGACAACTACAGTGTACATATAGGTGTCTGTACAATAAATTGAGTTTTTCTCTATAGCAAATGGAGAGTGTCTCACTGATCTCTCTACCTATGCATTCATCTATCTAGCTATTCATACAAAAGTTCTTTGGAATGAGGTGCATCATCCCTTAGATTTCTTTCCAGTAACCACCATCCATACAACTATAATGTATACTTGAATAGATAAGACTTTCCTCAGTTCTTTCATATTTGAACAGTTTGCAAAAACAAAACACAATATCAGAAAATATTTTAAATTCCCTACAAAAAGGTTACTTTCTGTATAAAATATTAGTTACGATTTTCATTGAATATTAACAAGTTTGTACCCACGTTTCAGAAGTGGAAGGACGACTCGAATGAAGAGAATATGAAGAATAAACATTCTGTTTTCTTGAAGGAACTGAAGTCATTAAGAAATTTAATATTAGAACACAGCTATGTCCAGTGACAGGTATTCCATAGTTAATATTTTAAACCAACACCTCTTACTGGATAGATTTCTGCTGGTACTGGAAAATGGCAGCAGTGTAGTTTTTTCAGGAGCTTTCATACTAAAGGGGAAAGAAGAAACAAAAGATATAAATTGAAAGCTGGTTTGATTAGTTAACATGCCTAACTGGTCAATGAGTATAAAATCAAAGCATTTATCCCTCAGTAGCAGGTTTTAACATGACACTATTTGCCATGAAGCAAAGTAAGAATTTATTTTGTAAAGCTATGAACTTGCTCTTTACATCATAATATGTGCAGTGCTCATTATATACCCAACAATTTCAAATTTAGCACAACATTATGGCAAAGTATGTGCGAGAACAACAGATGTTAAAATACAACTATTAACTATAGCTAAACACAAAATTCATTTCATTTCATTAAATTATACATTTGCCAAACTTTAAGAAATCTAGTTATCAAATTAAACGTTGGTATTTTCATGCTATTCAACAATAACTTTGCAAAACTGGTATCTTTGATAAGAATCATAAATAGGAAGAATATGTTTACTAGGCAAGCAAGAAGAGGCCCTAGGACACTTCTCTCTAGGTAGAACTCAAAAAAAATCTAATATTCAGTAAGAACTCTGTAATTTATATAATCAAGATGTTATTCATTTGAGATGCAGACAAGAAAATGAAGGCATAAAATGAATAAAAATATATAAACTGCAATAATCCACCATATACACAGTTTCCTTTATACTGGTTTTTTCTTTCTGCTATATTACACTGATCAGGCTGAGAGAGCAAAGTACACTATTATGTGCCTTTAAGAGTCGAGGGAAAGTCTGTACTAAAAAAAAAACACAGAAAAGAAATAAAGATCAATTAAAGATCAAATTAGTGTAATTAAAATACTGGTTTCATGAACTGGCTTGTTTGTTAAGGAGATTTAAATAAGTTTTGGCTTTATGTTGGAAATGAGATGAAAAGATGAAGGTGTATCAATCATTGAGCAGTGGGATGAGTGATCTCTTGGCTACAACTCTGAAACATTTGAGAAAAGACAGTAAGTAAGATGAGACAAGAATTTAATTTTTACTAGAAACAGAAACAATGAGAACCATATTACAAAACTCTGATAACTTTTTAAATGGGCTAAGATACCAGAAAAAGGCATCATAGTATTTTCCAGGCTGATGCTATAGTCCATTGCAAAATACACTAACATGGTTACATAACTGCAAATAAAAAATTAAAACTGAGTATCTATGTGACAGACTTTATTAATAAAGTTCATTTTTAGAGTTAACTATGGAGTTGTATTTTAAAATAAAAGGATTTCTTCCTGACAGGATTGATTATTGTGAATAAAAAGGATCTGATGTCAGAAATCACTATACATTTATTTCTGTAAAAACACAGGAAGAAGGCAAACAAAACATGAAAATTTTATTCCTTTATCAATTAAAATTACTGTTGTCTGATTACATTTACTTTTGCTGCATTAAACCTCTTACCATTGTATCTGTTGAATTTGTTGTGTTACTTTCTTGAGAGACTCTTCCAGCTTTGCTATCTGTGAGATAATCATAGATTTAAACAAAGTCTGTTTGTGTGATATACAGCTTCATTTTCATCCAGCCTCCTTTCTAAAGTGTTGAAAGGCTGCTTTCTATTGGTTTTAATCTTAAGACATCATTGCAATTCCAGATTTATTGGAGCTGTTATGGCTGTGTTATGGACCCATTAAACAGTCAGTCTGGAAGAGATATGCTTCTTTTTGGCAGTAAAGACTTTGTTTGATTACCTTTTCTTAAGTATGCTGGTAATACTGGATAAATGAATACTAGGAAAAGTGCTGAAAAATAGTTTTCTTTTCTTTTGCTTCCTATTTGTCATATCTGATATAAAAGCTTTGTTATGATTAATATAGAGTTATCTGAAAAAGCTACCAATAAATGTGAAAAAAATATTGTTCCCATATTTCTCATTTCAGATTCAGAATGTATTCAGCTCACTTCACTATCTATTTGTAGTAAGCCTAAATGAAAAGTTTTTTCTACTCTGTTAAGAAACACAACCAGAAATATCTTCATTAAAAAATGTTATGAGCTGGCAAAATTGAAGAATACCAAGGTCAAGAACACTAGGTCAGCTCCCCAGTATGTGTATTTTTTATAGTCTTTCATTATGTGAACATATATTTTATGAAGGATATAAAAATTTACTCAATAGCCTCAATACAGCATCTATGCTTTATCCTGAATTTCCATTATGTGACCTTAATCCTTCACACTGTTCACATTTTGATTTGAAGACAAATTATGAATTTGCTTGTTAACTTTTCATGCTTCTCAAACAATTATTGGAGTCCTTTAATAAAATTACCTGATTTATAAAATAACATTGTTTGTGGGAGATACTATGATCTTTTTGCAGATGCAAAACTCTGCAAAACAGATTAAAGACAAAATGTAATTTATGTAATATCTGGTTTTTGGTATTCTGTTTTTTTCTTCCTCATGAGAGCTAGGTTTGATTAAGAAAGGAACCAGTCAGGAAGAATGTACTTTACTCTGTTGCTCTGTAGGACTGGGTAATTTTAAGACCAAAGTGCGTTAAGGAAGGTGAGTAACTATTTGCTTTTCAGTATTTTGGGATCATTAACATAACAGGACATCTAGATCTGCCAGGAGCACGGACAGCAAGTGGCCACGATCACCTGCACCCTAATGCCTGCACAACTCACAGAAACAGCAAAAAAGCAGTTTACTGAAGACCATGAGACCTTGTTGGTTGACAGTGACAAGGATGACAAACTAGAAATAAGGAAGGGGACCTGAAACAAGACAGCCAAGCATGAGAAACTGGAATGGTGTTTAATATAACCAGCCTCTCCCAACCCTGATCCAATGCAAGCAGTTTTAATATACTAATAATACACAGAATGGGCAAAACAACAACAAACCCACCCCAAACAGTGTGCCACTGAAGCAGCAACCAACTGTGTTTTCAACTGTTTGGTACTGTCATCTGGACACCTTCCTTAGGTCAAGAACCACCCCTGAATGCTTCACAAACACTGCTGAGTGAATGTCTCAACAGTAAACAACTTAAAAAATTATCATTACAAAGTATCAAAACTCTCCTCAGCTTCTTGGAGATAACATCTCTATATATGCTGAATTCTATTAAGATATTTGTTTTACTTTGTCTACAGGTTTCAGTTTTACCATATGGAGTTGGTACAATAGATTAGAAGGGGGATGATATCAGGATTCCTCCCTGACCTGGCTTTGAAAGCAGAAGGACGTGATCCTAAAAGACCTACACTACACTGAGTGATCCCAAACTGCATTCACAGAGAAGAGGGAAGAATGGGCCACAGAACACCTAATTTTCCAAGCTTTCTATCCATGACAATCATACCAGAAACTCTCCTCACACATGAAATGGCCAACTGGGCAGCTACATGAGCTTTTTCTCTGTAATTTCATACATGGGGCAGCCACTCATGGGTCAAGTCACCAATACTGCCAAATAGCTTTAATCAACATCCCACGTCCTTAGAAATAAAATAAAAATCCAACAATTTAATCAAATATTTAGAAGTAGCTAAAAAATGAAAAAGAAATCTGCCTTCCAATCTACAAATGAAGAAGCATAGTCACAAATGTAGTACCTGCTCTCCACAGAATAATTAATTCTGTCCTTCACACTGAGCTATTCCAAATTCAGGGTACTAGCTCTTAGTCATGTTCCCCCTTGCTCAAGCTTCTCATTTATTTTGTCAGCCCTAGTCTTCTTTTCCTCTGGGCTTATCTTCTAGCATCCCTCTCTCCCCACCTCTTCCACTTTCCTCTCCATAGAGTGAACTGGTTTCTTCCCTCCCTGTAATTTAATCTTTAATTTAATCTTAACCACTTCACAACCAGAATATTTTATTAGAAACAGTAACTAGAATTAACAGAGTCATCACAGACTTTAAACAATTAAAAACTGGTATTTATAATGACAGTAATGAGTCAATCCTGATAAATTATTCTAATTATTCCCATAATAGATTAACATAGTTTCTAAAAATGAACCAAAGTAACAAGCAAAACATAAACAAAAACCTAGCAAATCACAATTAGAGTTACCTTTTCTTTGTGGTATTTTAATAAACGCTTACGATATTTTTCTTGAAATTCTGATACCTAAAAATAAATACAGTTAGATCAAGTTTCACATAATTACACTTATGCACCTCAGCAAAGAAGTGATGGAAAAGAACTACTTCACAGTATTCAAAGTTTTCTGTCTTTTATAGGCAGTTAACATAAATTTTTAAAATCATCCTAAAAAAATCCCAAACCATTCTAAGTTATCATCACTGACAGACAAAGTCTTATAAAGTTAATTTAATCCAATATGACCTACAGTAGGGCTGGTAGATTTATTTCACTGAAGTTATATTTTAACACTATATTCAATAAAAAGGTAAAGACATTGGAAAGCCAGTTTAGCTGCAGTGTTTCTTATTCATCAGTGCTAAGCAAACACATAAAATTAATGGCAACATAGAAAGTAATCTGTCTTACTGGCAATTATAATATGCCTTGTAAAAATACCCTGTTAATTAAAAAATAATTGTTAGACACACTGTCTGGTGATGTGTAAGCACTTCTTGTGTCCACATGAGGATCATAAACCATGACAAGTTAAAAGTAAAAATGACAAGGTAGGCAAGACAAGAGCTCGAGGAACAAATTACCACAGGCAGTAACTTGTAATAAATCTTTCTTCTCACATGTAAGAAAACTGCCAGAAAATTTGTAAGAAGTGAGACAACCAAGAAGATAATATAAACCCAAAGAGGGGTATCCAACTTAAATGGTTATTTTATTCCCTGTGGAAGGATCTGGGAGGTTCCCACTGAATACTCATCAAAGGATCAGTGTGTCTTTAGAAGAACTGATGGACTTATAAAGTGATGGCTTTAAGCTGTCTCCACTCACTGAGAAATGAGTTCTTGGGTCTAGGAGAAACCTGAATTCATCAGTTTAGTGCTCAGTACCAGTCAAAAAGTAAATCAGATCTTACCAGTAGTTCAAAATGGAATAGGGGACATCATCATCCCCCTTTAAAAAATGCGTGTTCCTATATCCTGAGCCTGCTCAACATCTCAGAAAGGATTGAGTAGGTCTGAAAACAGTTCAGATTTATCAGAGGTATGCAAAAACTTCATAGAAGATTCATAGAATATGAATCTTCATGGCTGAAAAAAAGACAGTTGAAGAAGGCATGCATCAGCTCTCTAAAACTGATGATTAGCACAGATGTAGTGCATGAGAATGGATACTTTTTCCTCCAGAATAAAATTCAAGAGTAAGAAATGAAACTAACAGGTTAAAACCTGAAAAATGAAATAATCATCATGCAGTGAACAACCTGTGCACTCCTCTTCCACAATATGAGACAGATGCCAAAATTCAGGAAACAGCCTGACAATTATGTGGGGAAAAATATCCACCTACGTTTCTGAATGCCACCCCAAGACCAACCCACTCTGAGAAATCCCTGTGCCACAAGTTGGGGAAAGATGGGAGGCTCTTCTGAAGATGTACCACTACATCCAGCTCTGCTCTCACTCTTTCCTAAGCACCCACAGAAGTGACAAGATATTAGATTGGATAAGAGATTAGATAAATTGCTCTTACATCTTTTGATGCTGGGACAAGTCCTGAATATACCTCAATGCCTTCACTACACTTCAGTATGTTCTCAACAGGTTATCTCAGAACAGAAAACCCATCTCAGCCTGGAGAGATTAAGCACTCTTTTTTCCTGCCTTCGGCACATTATGGAAGTCTGTATTCCCATGGGATTGGAGGTGTGCAGGTTCCCTGCATTTGTTCCGTTTATGGAGTAACTGCTGATCCTGATGTTAAAAAGTGGGGATGGAAGGACAGAGGAAGGTTCACGTTCACCTTGTGTCCCTTCTGCTTCTGAGGAGGAGCACTGCTTAGGAAAGGGGCCAAGGTCAGCTTTGGAAAAGTCTTGAGGCCTGGGGTAGAGCAAATGTGAATCCATGACCACTGCTGGAGCACACAGGTGATACCCCCTGGGTTACTGCTCTGCTGGATCAGGAAGCTCACCCACAGATCAGCAAGTCCCAGCCCAAGGAGATGAGAACAGCCAACAAAGGCTGTAGCCGGGCCCAGGGACAATGTGGAGGAAAATGCTGCTGAACTGCACAGGGAGAGGGACAAGGACACAGAGTCCCAAAGCCAAGTGGAAGAGATGCAGAAAATGAGGAGGAAAAGGGAGTTTGTATGCACTCATTTAACCCAGAGAGCTACTTAAGTTCTTGACTGGAAACTAAGCCTGACAAAATGAATCCTATCTGTAATTCACAGAAAGCAGGAGGCAAATGACCTTGGAATCATTTACTGCATCTATCTGGGAAAAAAAAGAGGTGTGTTTTGATTACAAAAAAAACCCAAACAATTAGAAGGGAGAGAGAGCACAGTGAGCTCAGGACTGTGTCCAGCTCAGGTTTTCACTGTGTAATTTTTATTGCTATAATTAAGGCACACTATCTGGGCACATTTAAGCTTCTGGAAGATCTAATTTTTCACTGCATGGCATTGAAAGTGATTTTACACTATTAAAATAACCAGACTAGTGGTCCTCAGAGAGAGTTTGAAAACATAAGCAGTGACCATAGTGAATAATTTATGTCTCCTTAAGAACTCAGAAACTGTAGAATTAAGGAAGTAAAGATGGTAATGGGCATACATTCATTTTCAAGCATTCAATCATACACTTTTCCCATTCACATAAAAATCAGTAGGAGTTGCTGATTATTTATAGAGTTAACAAGTTTTAAGGCAGATGCACCTGTGATATTTCTTTTGAATATTTCTTGCTCAACACATCTATTGGCGTGAACAGTGATTGAATATCAGGACTTGTCTATGAAGAAATGAAAATATACCACGGTTAGCATTTTTATTAGCAATTCATATTAAATAAAGTCTTTTGTAAAGTGTTTCTTAAATTGACTGATGAATATAAATAAATTAAATAAAAAGACAGATTAGAAAAGCATAATGCTGAAAGTGAAAATAAGCCTAGTTTTCTTTAATGGCCTTATCAACCATCTGGAAAGCACTGGGTTTTTGTTTAAATACATTACCCAATATATACTTATTTTGATTAAAATAGTACCAGTGTCCAGAGGACATTGCAGGATGATGAGGCCCCTGGGAGAGGCATTGCACTCACACCAACAGCCAGGTTTCTGGCAGCCCGTGTCCAGGCTTTTTGGTTCTCACCACTCCCAGTCACATGGAATGCATCCCACAATCAGTTTTGTTTCAAAGTCCTTTTTCAGAATAGTTCCAATGCTGACTGGGATCCCTTTGTCTCTCCCTGCCCATTGGGCAGCAGAATATTATCCTAGAATAAGGAAAGAGCCTTAAAGCAATTGTTGAATTTTTACAATATTTTATGAGTTGTGTCTTTTAATCAGAGCTGTGCATGCTTTAGGAAAACTGCTTTTCCTTGTTTTTCCCAGCTACTAATTCTTACAGAACTCACAGAAGGTAACCAATTGTATTTGAGATTTGAGACTTCCTCTGCCGTTTTGAATTTGGTTGACATCAGCCAAAGATTCAAAAATTTCCAGCTGACAGATGGAGAAACGCAGACACACAGCACAGTCAACCTACCTGTGGTATTTCAGTAAATAAAAACAATACAATAATATTCCATCTTGAAAACTGAAGATATTTATAAAAATATATACAGCTTCTTTAAATGAGAGGCACTCATAGGAACCAAGCTCTTTGCAATCTATTTAGGGTTCTATCAGAGCAATGTACCTATCAGATCTGAAAAAAATAAAACCCAACCAGCTTCATGCTGATATAAAAACTCTTTCAAATAAAGATTTGTGTAACACCGTTTATATTTTATCTCCTGCATGGAGGAGTAGCAGATGTTCCTCTGATATTCTGAAATACTGAACAGCCAGATTCTGATTTATAGTAACACTTAACCATCCTCTGGGGAAAAGCAAGTGGGGATCATGAGACACAGAAGGAAGACATAAAGGTGACAAGAATGCATTACTGTAAAGATGAGACTATTTAATGTGTACATGTTGATTGCCCCAACATACAATTTAATTAGGAATTCTAACACATTTATAGGACCTCCTCTCATTGGGAATTCTTCCACAGCATCAAGCTCATAAAGCTTACCAGGTAGATTTCCACTCAGGTTCCTGAATTATAGAGCCATGACTTTTTATATGCATCTTTAATTATCATTCCAATCATTTTATCTGTTCTTAATCAAGGATAAGCAATCATCATTAATGTCTTTTTTAAAGAATATGGTAATTTGCTTCCTTCCAGCCCTCCAGAGCAGTGGCAGGTTCTAATGAAATATCTAATATTTTTGTTAGTATCCCAATCATTGCATTTTTAAATTCCTTCTATGCTTTTGAAGTAAATTATCAAGTTCTGCTGAAATGGTGCAGTTTAAGACTGATGTAACTTAAAAATTAACATTGGAGCAAGGTGTTGAACAAGATGACCTCCAGAGGTCCTCGACAACTCAAATTATTCTTTGACTGAAATTAATAACAGCAGCAACAATACGTTGATATTGAAAGCACATTAAAATATGCCCTTTAGAATTTTTATGAAGGGCTTTCTGATCTTTTTTTCATATTTGATTACTGTGTGCATCGTTCCTTTACATTATAATTGCATTTTGTTGTTTTGTTGGAACTTTTTTTAGTAACACTGTCTTCTTCAATGTGCAAGATTCCTAGGAGGCCTTCATGTATAGCTGTATTGAATTTTATTAAATGTTTTTAGTGTTTCTCTTTTATCCTTATAAGGCATTGTCTCTTAGGTAGGCATCAGTCTACAAAAATATGAATGCTTTCACAACCTATTTATGGAATCAGCTAAAGAGAAGATTGCTCCTGGGAGAAATGCAAAATTAAAGATTCCTAATAATTAATCAAGAAAGGGAATTAAAAGCTCTTAATTCTCCAGTGAATAAGAAAAATTCCCAACAATATTTCAAACCCTTTCCTAATCACACAGCCACAAGGAAAATAGTTAAGCTTAAGAGAAAACACGGGAAAAAAACCCACTCCACTTGAAAACACTGCTGAGCCATCATGTAGGTTTTCAATTCAGTCCATTACATGAAATAACTCATTACAGTTCATTTTCTGTGATGCAAAAATGCCAAAATCATAAACATTTTTCCACATTTTGAAATTAGTCACTGATGTTACACAGCAACCAACCATACTTCTTGAAAAGTTTAGAATGATTTACAGTCTAGCAGTACCTGAAAACCTAAAAGTTTCCACATGTTTTAATTTAAATAAATATTTACAAAAAAAGCGGAGCTGTCCAGTGCCTAAGTATCATAGTTTAGCAACCTATTATCAGTAAATACTCATGTCACAGTTGGCAAAAACAAAAAAGAAAGCATTTTTTAATGCAAATAGTTTAGCTGTTAAGTAAACCACAGATTAATATAATGCAACCAAACTAAAGCTTGATTTACCTCTTTTGAAAGGACTACAGTATGACAAGCCCTCCTGCAGACCAAACATTCATCTTTTTTGCCTGTAAGGTAAAGACACACTTAAAATATAAATCAAACTGAATATATAGTGAATATAATGTGATGCCTAAACCTCTGGAGCTTGTGGAAGAAATCTGCAGGTTACACAAGAAATATGAATAAAGAATTTGATGCCATAACCATTACATTGAGTTGTGCAGGAAAAATGTATGTGAATGTCATCAGGTCTTACTCCTGTAAATAAGCAGTCATGCAAATGATTTTATGAATATCATTAGTGTCACAGAATGCAGGTGACTTTTAGTTCCCTTGATTTAAATAAGACTACTTGCCTGGTTTAATTAAATGTATGCTTAAGTGCACTAATGACTTACAGCCAATCTGATATATGGCTTTTTAGACTGGGGCACAGTGGTGTTGTCCCAACAAAATATATGAAACTCAAATGTCAAGGAATTAAAAATTTTACCTTTTGAATTCCTCCAGTGAGAAAACAATAAAACCACTTTTAAAAACTTTATGACTTTAAAACTCTTTATCCGCAAACATATTAGAAAACGTCTATAGCAAATGCACATTATTTCAATATTTATAACTGACAATTCTACTAGCTACTACCTTTCTGAAGATTCTAAGTATCAATGTCTATAAACATCTTTAAATACATTTTAAACCTCATTATTACTGAATTCACCACAAAAAGATACATAATCTCATATGTTTTTGTGCTAAACAATATTAAGAACCAAAAGGAAAGATGTTGGTCATGTTCTAAGGGGCTGCAAGCTGCTAAGGCTGCATTTTATGATCTTCTACCCTCAACAGCAACCTGTGAAAACATCTAGTCTAAAGTTTTTAGTTCTGAAATACAGATTGATCATTTCTTCTGTGTGCCCTTACAAAAACTAGGGCATTTAGCATGATGTGAAAGGGGAAAACATTGATTTCTGCTGCATTTTATTTCCTTTTGTAAAACAACTTCATTATTCCTCTGCCTTTCCCACATATCTTTGTCCAAGAGCATCGCTGAGTCCCAGAATATGACTGTGGAATTGTGCACAACACAAGAGCTTCAAACATCACCTCCAATCTTCCCTCACACTGCTCAAAGTCTTCAGGAACAATACTGAGCCTCAAAACTCATTAAAACTACTTCCAAAACCTACCCTAAACAAATCCTCCGTTTTTTTCAATTGCTCTTTCACTATGGAAAAACCATTATCTTTCCCAAATTTGGAAATTTAGAACAGAAGGCCATCTACTTGTAGTGGTGGTTTTTGTTTTTTTGTTTGGGGTTGTTTTTTTTTTTTTTTTGGGGGGGGGGATGTTTTTGTTTTGGGGTGGTTTTTTTCTTTTTTGTTTGCTTTGTTTTTTGGGTTTTTCTTTTTAATAAAAGTACGGATCATAAGCATCCAGAATCCAGTTTTATTAAAGCCTCCATTGCGTGTGCCCAAGGCCTGGTCTCAAAGCCACATCCACCTGGAGGTGGATACAAGTGACTTTTACTGTTCAAAGCGAATCAACAGCAAGGACTGGAAAGGCCTATCAGTAACATTCGAAGAAGTGCTCAAAGCTTTGATTTTTTTTTTTTTCCACAGCGGGTGAGAAATACCAATGTTTGAGGTGGATGCGTGCGCGCAGCACAGCCATTACCTTTCTGCAGGCAAACCTCACAGAAAACGTGGCCGCAGCTGGTGAGGCAGAACCGCGGCGTGGGGGTGCGGGGCTCGCACAGGCAGGAGTTGCAGAAGACGGGCACGGCCATGGGGCAGGGGAGCAGGACGGCCCGGCGGGGGCCCGGGGCTGGGGCACAGCCGCTCGTCCTCAGGCCGAGCCCCGCGGGTGCGCCGCCGCCACGTCCCGCCCGCTGAGGCGGCCCTGAGGGCAGCGAGGCGCGCGGCCCTCCCGCCGCGGGGCCTCAGGGCGGCAGAGCTTGGTCTTCACACACACACACCAATAAAATTTGGGGTTTTTTCTGGCCTCTCACTACCCAGCTGGAGCGGTGCCGACACAGACGGTGCTCTGGGAGATTCGCGCTCCCGGCCCCAAACGTGCGAAACACAACGGCACCCACAGGCCTTCGGGCAGGGCCTTCAGCAGCAGCCCCGCCCGGCGCGCTCCTCCCGGGGCGGCAGATGGGGAAAAAAAAACCACAAAAAACCCCAAAAACAAACAAACAAACAAACAAAACCACCCAGAGAAAATAATTGTGGATTTCACTATTTTAAATGCAAGAATCCAGGAAGTTTGTTAATTCGCTATCAGAGGTTTGCTGTGGCGTCTTCTGTTGTGGAAAAAGAGCAAAACAAGGAGAATTGATGTTCATTTCTTAGACAAAAAAAAAAAAAAAAAAAAAAGAAAAATAAAAAGAACAAAAAAATCCACTGGTTGCTGGCGTCCCGTGATGAAAATTTTAGGCAGAAAGTCCCTTACAGACTTAGTTTCAGTGCAGGCTGTAGCTCTGGGTATGACAGAGACACAAAGGAAGCTTTTAACTTCACAAAGGCTTCTGCCCCCAAAGTGCTTCCCACAAGAGCTGTGAGTCAGCTTCTGCTTTATGGAATTAATTAAAAATCTTGAAGAAGACTGAAAACATTTCCTAAAAGCAAAGATGATTATGATGATATGATGATGATTAATAATAATAGTAGCATTAGTAGTAGTAAAGAACTAAGCAATCACAAGTTACATTCAAGATGCCCAAGTCTCAGTGCTGAGTCTATACTCAAAGAGTATAGACCTAATTAATATGGTGAAACATGATCAGCTCTTTTATGAATTCTGAAATGTTGCTTGTCCTGGATTACCAGCTGGAGTGTATTGAAAGTGCAATGAGTTATGTTATTGGGATGTGATTAGGAGCCTTACACTAAATATCAGCTAAAGTCTGAACCACAACCTTGTCACAACACTATTACTTTCTTCTTGGACTTCATATACCATATGGTTTTAACACATATTTCCTTCTTACCCACCACCAGAGATGTTATTACAAGACATGTTGTGAGTGCTCTGTAGAAGTTAATTTAATAACACTTACTGGTCATTCCAAGTGGCACTCTGAAGTATCCAAATTTTTAAATGTACGAGACAATGCAGTGAGTAGCTTTATGAGATTTTATTTGGATTGATTTTGTCCCTGGAACATTGCTTTTTGTCTCTACTTTGTATCAATTTTATTGATTCTCACATACTACCAGCTGTCTTTTAATTCCCATGCTGGAAATATAAGTAGACTTAAAGGAAAATGTCATTTCCTTGCTAAAGAAAACAACAGGTGGGAAGATAGAGAAATGAAAGAAAGCAGTGGCTTTAGAACAATAATTGGTCTGCAGATATTTCACCTTTCACTACCTTTTAAATGAGCAAAGGGTCTGAAAAGATATGTAGGAAAACAAACCACAATATTCTGCTGTCACAGTGCTCTAGAAACTTCAACTTCCATGTCTTTGTATGTAACCACCTCCAACTCCTTCCTTCTACTACTGCTGCTTTGTCAAGCAAATTATCTGGATTTTTAACCACAGCCTTTGACTTGTCATTGTATGATACTGTAGTTACACTGCTATTTGTACACAAATTAGCTAAATTAGGGCATAAAGGTATAATGTAACCAAGCTGCAATAAGTAAAATGGAAAATTAAGTCAAAAACAGGTAGTTTCTGTAGGCAGTCATATTAAAGTTGCTAAATAATTAAAATTATGAAAATTCTCAACACAGAAACATTTAGTGCAGGAATGAATTAAAATAAAATTGGCATTGTTTACCAAGAAACCAAATAATTTTGGTTACTTTGGAATACTTCATAAAGATTATAATTTACTTAAACAACTTAAACAACATCAATTCTACAGCCTAATGTTAAGGGCTTTTCTGGAAGAAAAAGTAAGCGTAATTCCAAATTGCTTGTCTGGGTCTCTCTCTTCCATGATAATTGCTGCCACCACTGATCAGTTCAAACTCTGAATATTTTCCAAGAAAGCATTCACAATTATATTTAGGTGTTACACATGTATAGATTGAGTTCAAGACACTCTCACCCAATTAAACACCACAGGGGATGTAATTATTTCTCTGTTTACTATCTGAATCCTAGTCAGTCTGAAGTGCTGAACTGTTCATGGTAGTGCCAAATAAGATTACTCAGCAAGCAGAGTAATTTAAAATCTTAGGGAACTTTAGATTTGTATTTTAGATTTAACCTAAATTAAACATTCTTCATTAAGTACTGAACTTAAATGCTGCCTTAGCCACTGACTCCTTCTATATTTAGCTTTATATCTGTAGATGGGGGGAAAATAGTAGAAAATGGGATTCAAAGAGCAAAGCATGAGGGATGCCAGAGGTTGTGACCTAGCTGGAGAAACCAGAGTTAGAACAGAAGATGGGAGAAGGTTGAGAGTTCCATACAAGCAATTTTCTCATAGGTGCAGGGTTTCTTTGGATGTTCAGTGTTACATGGTGTGTAATTTTTGAATCTGTGCATTGACTTTATAGAACTTAAACAAGCTTCTTAGATATAAAGAAATCTCTGAGAGATTTGATTTGCCAGATTCCAACAGAGATGAGGATTAGTGTTTGCACTATAGCCCACCACAAAATATTGCTGTTGGTTTCTTCACTTGTTTTCCGAAATTTCTCTTCACGCTCCTAGAGAATAAAGGAATAGCATAATTATTAAAAGAAAAGCATAATTATGGCATCTGTATGTTTCATGGTAACTAGAAAGGCATCCCTCTTCTGCATAGTGGTGAACAAAACCATTTTTCTATGTGGATAAAAGTGAAGGTTTGTACTTATCTGTGTGGTGGATATCTTCGCAAGTCAAAACTGAGAAGCAGGCACACTGCATCCTGAAGCAGGAAGGCAAACAGCTTCCCTTGTTCACAGATGTATTGTGCCAAACTTATTCAATCAGTACAGCTTTTAACCTGTTTAGTTTTATATAATTTGCTGTCGAGAGCCCTTTTGCTGCCAGATTTCTGGTTTTGAGTAACACATTGATAAATTTCAAACACTGTCTATCTGCGTGCATATAGAAAAGCGACTCGGTGTACACTTGTTTGAAGAAGGGATATTTAAATATACACTTCATGGGAATATATAAATATACACTCAGTCATTTGCTTCCCCACTCAATGGAGTTTGTGCACCCAGGGCAGCGTGGAAACACCAGCATCACCCCCAATGGCACCTGCTGCCTGCCTGGCTGCTGTGGCTGAGTCTGACCAAGAAAACTCTGCTTGGAAAATCCTGCTTTAAAATAACACCTGTTGCTACAAGCACGAACCCACAGTGATTAATTAGTTTTATGTAACCACTTGAAAATATTTTGCAAGGAAATGGAGACTATTTTTGTTGAATATCTATAGATTTTTATCAGTTAGTTAAAAACACCCCTGCAATTGGATAATAAACCTCATGATATTTTATAAATCAATAAGCCTATGTACAATATTTTTAACATTTACATTAGGGGACATACATACTCTTTCATAGTCTTGTTCTCTGGTTACGTGATGAATTTGCTCAATTAGATGCTCTAGTCTGATACTAACTTCATTCACTTTGTCCTTAGCTTGAATAGCAGATTCATCCAAAAAATGTTCTCCAACTCTGATGTCCAAGTGGATACGCTGCAAAAAGAAAAAAAAATGTTCTCATTACTCTGTCTTCTGCTTTTTCAGAGTTCCTTAGAATAAAAATGAAACTATGGATAATTTCCCTTAAGATCATTGCAGGAAAATAGTCTTAATTGCTTGTAAAAATCCCTCCTAAAACTAGAATCAGCTGGAAAATTTGAAGGATTTCTTAATTTTATTTTTAAATTAGTTATACAAATTAACAATCTTGACTAATGTTAGGGCATTATTTTTATGCTAGTATTGATTCAAAGGCCATTAAAATGTTGCCTTTGTCCAAAATAGTTAAAATTTTAAAAAAAGACTGCTTGTTATAATTCACATTTCTTCCAGATATTGCAAAAATAACTGTCTTTAATAGTACTGTTGGAGGCTTTTTTACGAATACACTTCTAGGTTCCCTCACATAACTGTTTCCTTCACATTATTTATCCAAGCTGGATATCAAGATATCTCCCAATATCCTCCAGGCTGTTGTATGATCTACAGCAAAAATGCCTCAAGCCAGCCAAGCAATAGAACCACAGAAAGAAGAGAGAAGAATGGAACTTGCAATGATATGCAACTTATTTTGGCATGCATTAAAAATTCTACTAAAACAAGTAGGAGAAACTTCTCCTAGAAGCCAATTAGTACCTAAGAGAAAACAATAAGGTTTTAGCCAAACAAATAATCTTCAAAACCTAGAAATTAATATTACCATAATAGAAGTTTGGTTTGCTCAGAGATCAGCCACAAATGAAGAGTGTATTTTCTTGCAGTTGTCTTGAAGTTATATCTATTTCTATCTATACCTAAGTGTATATGTAGAGATCCATCTCACAGCCTTGTGGTCCATTCATTTCTTTATTTTTGTTTGAAAGAGTTCAGATAACCATATGGTTCTTACAAAGAACAGTTAAAGATTTACCTTCACTAAAGAATGTTTTTCCTTTTGTGATGTTTATTCCTCCAGATATAATTAAAAAGGACAATATTTTCCTTTTTTATTTTTTGTGTTCTCAAACAAACAACATTATTTAGTATTTGGGATTTTTATGTTCTCCTTCCCTGCATCTCTTGGCTTCTTTTATATAGGATGATCAGAACTCTACATGGTGCATGTATTGTGTAAAATAATGTTAATACACCCCCATCTACGCCAGATAAAAATCACCTGCACATCCTCAGAATCACATTCATGGTGTGTAGTTAACTGTGACCAACCAAAGCTTTATCCCCCTTTCTCTCTCTAATTATAAGCTCCACAATTTTTTTTAATTATTAGAGCTAATTGCTTTTGCAATGTATATGATCAAATTTCCATTAATTTCTATCAATCAGCATGTAAGAACACTTTGTTATTCCAGTATAATAAACCTACTCCAGTATTGTTATTTCTGTGTTATCTACATGTTTCTGAAGTGCACAGCTAGGATGCAATTTAGCATACCTTAATTCTTTTAAAAGTGTTTATATTTAGCTGGTTATTTTTGCCTTCAGCTAAGAAGAAAAAAAACCCCAAACCACACCTGTTTGGGAAGCAAATTCTCTCCTGTTTTTGGAAAGCAGCAAATAGATCAAATTTCAAAACAGTATTTGTCATTTTTTTGCTGCAATCAGTAGAGCCATGATACCACCTCTGATGGCTTTTCCCCCCCCCCCAAATCTGCATTAAAACCAACTGGTGGTAGTAGACACTAAAAAGTATGCTGACATATTCGTCATTCAAATCTTTCAAAAACTAAACTGTTACATTTTCATTGGCAATGCAACCTAAGTTAATGAATACATGGAATATCTTTATAACAAGTGCTTGTATTAGTCAGTCTTACATATTTGTCTTTTTGATCAAAATTAGTTGTTCTTATTGATCAGAATCTTTCACATTCAAAGCACAGTACAAACATTAAATCTCTCTATCCTTAATCCTGCCTCTTGAATGCTGACTTTTTAAATATGAGAACAGTCTTTTTATCTTTTTATCTGCATAATTCTATGTTTGCTTTCTATAATCACTAAAAAACATTAAATTATCTGCTAGAAGTTAGACCAACTTCTAATCCAGTTTGAAATCTCTGCTGTTGTTAATGATTTATACTGTTACAACAAAGACTATTTAGGAATTACACCTACCAGTTTACTTCCTGCAATCACTGCAAATCTTGTGGAGTTAGACTGGAAACAGATGACATGCTCCCCAGAGATGTGGGATGTAAAAGTAAAGGTCCCTTGTGGCCCGTACAGTTTTGACAACAGTACCTGCAATTTAGATATATGCATTGGGTTTGTAATTTATAACTACCAATAAAAAAATCAAAAAACAGTACTGTGAATTGAATGCAAAAAGGAATCAGTTAAGCTGCTGACATCATTAAATTTATCCAAATTTCAGAACACATTTGAAGAAAACAAAACCATCTTAGCTCACAGTGAACATGAAAACATTACAGAATTTTGCAATGTACAAAAGCCAATGCTTTCTAAAGCATTCAAAGTCTGAAAACCAACGCCTTGCCTAGGCAGGGAAATAAGTTGTCCATTGCTGGAAAAGCTCTGAGCTCAGGCAGCTGCTCTGCATGAGGGTTACGAGCAACCTCCTGGTGACCTTGACTTTGGGTTTTGTTTATCATCAGCACTCCTTTATGCTGTCCAAGTAGATTCTGTACCATTTTACTTCATTAGTGAATTTTTGGGTTTTATTTTTCATTTAACTTGTTTTCTCAGTTGTCACTAATTCTTATTTCCCAAATCTGGTAGTAATGCAAAAATTATCCATATACATAATTATCAAATATCATAATTTATGTTACTTTTATCTTTCAGCAGCAAAATGCTGAACTAGCTGGTAGACTAGATTTACTTTTCCCTCAGAAGTGTCTTTTATTTCTAGATAGTGCTACCTGCAAGTGTCAGAAGTCAAGTCATAAATCGTAGAGAAACATTCATAAAGCATTTTTACCTCACCAGTAGGTATTGTGACAGTCACAAACATTCCCAGACCAGGAGCAGATTCAAGAAAGTCATGTGTATGCATATCCCAGCGTTGTACTTTGTAATTCCCTGAATAAAAACAGAGATAAATCTGTTAAATAAAGCATAACTTAATGTTAAACATCTTTGATTCTTTTTCAGGAAAAATAGAAATATATATGTATTTAATGTGGTTATGATTCATATTTTTCAGGGGTACTTCATAACAGAGTGAAATTCAATAAAGTTTTACTACACTAGAAAGTGTTCTAAAGTACTACATAAAAGGGTTAATTAACAAGAAAAACTTTCTAATTACTCCTAATGCTCTGGGAAGGTTAGCCTCTAGAAGGCACACTGTGACCTCCAAAAGCATAATGTGCTGTACTCAAATTACATTTTATACATTGTCTTTCACACTTATCATATTATTTGAAAAAAAAAAGATTAATTTGTATTCTTTTTTACTATCCCCTTGAAATCTTACATTTACAGTCTTGTAGATTAATTTAATGTGCTTCTCGTATCAGAGGAGAAATGAAACTTTAGTATATCGTGAATGTCTCTTTTCAGACCAGCACTTATCAAAAAAACCTCTCCCATTCATATGGGGACCTCATATCAGAGGAGAAATGAAACTTTAGTACATCGTGAATGATCTCTTTTCAGACCAGCACTTATCAAAAAAACCTCTCCCATTCATATGGGGAAAACAGTGTTACAGAAATTCTGATATGAATGAGTACATCAGTCAGAACGTGCAGAAGCGCACATGGAAGCAGCAGTTCCACAGTGTAGAATTAAAAAACATTCTTTTTCTCTTCTTAGTCAGTAAAGCACTCTGAAAACTGCATTTCTTTGTGTGATGGATACACAGAATGTTTGAGGACTTTAAAATTAATCCCTGCTGCAGGGAGTTCTTTTCAGAGTGCCCTTTTCTGTTTTTTTACCATATTCATCAATCACAGAAATTGCTGTTACATTCCAGTTATCTTTGTTACTTTGTATGGGTTAGATCAACATAAAGCATTGACAGGTACCTACCAACTACCAAGGTGTCACTGGGAATATCTTCAATTATGCATTTCTCTTCTCTTTCTCCCATGTGAAAATACAAAGCGAATGAAAAAGAAATCCAAAAGTTCATAAGGAATCCTACTAATTTGCTTTTCATGGTTTTTATATATCCCTGCTGTACTGCTTTTGAAGATAGTTACATACAAATGCCTGTAGTCCTGTGGTTGTTCCTTGTTTGCTGCTTATCAGAGTATTTTTGAGAGAGAAAAAAAAACTGTGAGAAAAGGCAGCTGGTGGTTACACATTTATAAATAACACAGCATGTTCTGGAGAATGAGATAACGTGGAAAAGACACCTTTTAAATACTTTCTTCTTTCCCAGCATCTAGATTAAAATTTATTTTATGCATTTAGAAGAGCATGAAACTGAAAGGGACTCTCAGGTACTTGAGATCAGTTCCCAAGATTACTGTAGGCAGCTACATTGGCTACCACTTTCCATAAACTGCTCAATTTTCAACTTAAATGAAGTTATTATTTGCCATTAATTATGGGTGATTATTCCAGAGCTTCACCTCTCCTTTATTAAGAAAACTTTTCATTTCCATCCTAAATCATTGTACAAATGTAGGCACCTGATTAAAACCCACAGGCTCTACATAAAAGACCTATAAAGAAGTCAAAATAACTTGAATAATCAAATAATCCATTAAATAATCAAATAATATTAGTGAATATGATATTGCAGGAAAAAATGACAACATGAACACTTTCAGAATAAGATTTTTTATATAGGAATGACTTAGATTTTCCTAATACATTCTGTGAAGAAAGTTAGAGTACAAATCAAACAGTGATTGAGGTTGTTATTTTCATTATTTGTACTAATATAGACCTATATATATGTCTGATGACAAACTCATTTATCACTCAAATGCTTCTTGTCCTATAAATGGAGATCATTCTGTCTGAAAGGTGGGCCTGAATGGTCATTTTCCAGAAGGGACAACCCACCTGTGGGATCATTTCCAGTCAGGAGGACCCATCTTTCCACAAAACTGTATGTTACCCCAATTGCACAAGAGCACATATTTTTCTTGTGTCAAGGAAGAAGGGTGCACAGCCCTTCATCTTCAATATCTGTAACCTAAATAAAATTTTGGGGATGATAACTCCTATTGGATTATTTCACATCTGCAAAAGGAGGACTGATTCGTGTTTATTGCCCTCCACTGCACCTGCCATCTATGGAGTTGTCTCAATAAAGGAATATCTGTGTAACACTACACAGTTCACTTAGTTCACCTCATTTCACAGCATGAAATATCTTCATGGAAGTTGTAGCACAAGTATTAATTCACCTCCAAAAATCACCCATCAGCATCCCCATATTGAAAGGCAGTCAGATGAAGAGAACTGATTCCTTACACATTACTTCTTTGACTCCATATGGCAAAGGATTGAGGGAAAAAAATTGCATCTCATGGCTGTTGAATCCTTAGGAATGTCAAGGGGGATGTTACGACTCCTTTACAACTTCAGCACTTATCCATCAGAAATAATTTTAGATTTTACAGGATCTCATCATAACATTGGACTTTTGCCCCTCTACCACAGGAGATGTTGACTGTCCTGCACCTGCATAAATTCCCATGGCATACTCGTGCCTGCAGGAAATATAGGTTTGTCTGTAGGTTGTGAGCTACTTAACCTATCATCTTTTTAGCTTTTTGTTGAGTTCTTGTGGCTTCCAAAGTTCTGAGTTCCAGTGGTAGAACACAAGATATACAAGGTGACACCACTTTATCCTTCACTCTGCCCAGACCCATTGGAAGAGACACATTTATTCTGTACTTTTGGCTAGCAAATGCTGGCATGGTGGGGCTGCTGGACTTCAAGCAAACAAAAATAATTCAGTCTCCAAGTAATCAGGTCTTTATGCAGCATACTGAGAGCTTTTGTCTCAGTCAATTTTCAATTCAGAGTTCTGTAAAAAATCCAAATTCTGCATACTGCAAAAATCCCATTGAACACCATCTGGCTGATATCAGAATTGCTGTATCGAGTGTTTGATTTATTTCTTGGGAGTGTTAGATATTGTCATGGAATAGTGTGAGTTACTTTATTATGTTGGATCATTCATGACAGATCATTTATTCCCAATGTACTTCAATTACCTGGGGCTGGGAATATAATGAAATGAAGCTTTTTGCCTTGAATAACATCAGATACTCTCAGATCTTTTGTTTTCACACCTATTCCGTTATAGGAATTTGATTTCATATTGATTATTTTTGTAGGACCACAGTTTAATTCTGTGGTGACTTTTTTGCTGCTACACTTTGCCATTCCACTTTTTGCCATTCCAAAAGGAAGGAAGAGGTTCTCTGTATTTCTTCCTGGTCCCAAAATTTTTAAGGCAATTCCAAGGTTGCTGGAGCTACAAAGTCCTAGCAGTGTCTGTGCAGGGATAATGTACCTCACTAATCAGTTTAATCGACAAATACAATGAGGAATGTGCTCCATCACTACCATTAACCACATCTTTCACTCTGCAAGTACATCTGCCAAGGCATCAGAGCTGATTCTTTCTATAAAATATTCTTGAAAGGAATTGTCTTTACAAATCCATTTCAATCTTCTTTCCAAAGTGCTTTCTGAGATTAGCTTAACCCAGGAATTAATTTGCCTATTTCCTTTCCTAAATCTCGTGTGTTTAGGACCTCAGCATCTTGGCTGCCAACCATCTGTAACATGCAATACAAGGGAAAAGGAAGGAAGAGCTTCTCTGTGTTTCTTCCTGGTCCCAGAATTTTTAAGGCAATTCCAAGGCTGCTGGAGCTACAAAATCCTAGCAGTGTCTGTGCAGGGATAATGTACCTCACTAATCAGTTTAATCGACAAATACAATGAGGAATGTGCTCCATCACTAGAATGCATTTAATTCACTGCATCCACAGTCTTGCCAAGTAATGGCTCCATCCCTGTGCTTTCAAAGGGAATACCTGGAATTATATTTATGGCCAAGCAATACACAGGCACAGGGGCATCCTTAAAGAATATATTTACCAAGGTCTCCTGAATTTACAGCTTACAAAAAGACCCATATCCAGGTAACTGGCTGGGTAGGAGACTTCTGTTTATGAAGGAAAAATATTCGTGTATGTAAACACCCTAAAACAGTAAAGTTATGTATCACTGACTGGAGTTTTCTGAGGTGTGTTGGTTACATATTTTCTTTCTACTCCTTGTCCTTATCTCATCCTTTCTCCTTCAGTGTCCTTTGGAAAACTTTTGTCTCCAGGAGTTTGAGCAAACACTGGGACTCCTCCACTCATTAAATCTTGTAGGACTGAAATCCCAGTTTCAGGTCATGTATGCTATTGCAAATATAGGTATTCTTTTACTGGGCCTGGGCCTTTATTTATTCTGGGCATGTGAAGAAGAAAAACTGTAGTGTTTAGAGAACTTCCAGGAATGTACCTCAAAGGATACCTTGTAGGTTTTGAGTTTGTTTTTCCTAAGGCATAATTTAGAATTGCATGTGATATCTGCCCGAAGACTTTATTGAGCTTAATTTGTCTCTTGACAATAAATTTGAAATTAGCTCCTACCCTCTGAGAATATTTAAATATATGCTACAATATATGCTTATGTTTTCTGATATGATGATAAATGTTTAAACAGGTAGTTAGTAAGTGTAACAGAAAACACAGCATGGTTAAAACTAATATAAAAAGGAGAAAGAAAAATACTAACAATTAACTAAACACAGAATAGTATAGTAACACTATTCCCATTATAAAGTGAAAATAGAGGGAACTTAAAAAAAGAGATATGATAACAGGAATAAGTGGAACAATTTTGAACAACAAACAACAGTGGGAATCTGAAGAATGAGAGAAGAGCAGAAATTCCTACACTTAGTTCTAACAACTGTTTATTTATCAGCATTTGCAGGACCAGTGAAGTCTAGTCTGGTAAAGTTTTAAATTTATTTGTCTTTGCAAGATATCTCTCCTGGGAAAAGAAATACAGAGAAATGCTTAAATGTTTCAGCCCTGTGGAGAATACAGTGTGCTCCTTTAAGGACAAGAGAAATTATCTTGTATTTGGCATATCCCAGAAAGAACCCAACAAATCAACTCTCCTGTTCAATACCTGTGCTGTATATTTGTAAAAGTGCAGTGTACTCTAAAAGTTTTGAGCTGACTTTAAACTTATTCTATTGAATAAGTATTATTCCAAAATTATTTTCCTAGTTCGTAGCCACAGCTCTTTATAAGCCATATGTTACATTCATTTTATAAGTTATTTGAGCATAAAACTTGCAGTCAGGAACAGTTTCAGACGTGTTTTGTTAGAGTTGTGCATACCTTAATTTTAGGTAATATATACACAAACAGCAGCAAACACATATAAAGAAACATGGACACATTTACTGCATATAAGGTTAATGATATAATTTATGTTATAGTCAACAGTGTTAACTTTGAGATTAAAGTTTTCTCATGAGGGACATACACCAAAAATCAGTTTTTGGATCCCAGCTAACACTTTTAATTCAGCTCAGATGTTTTCTACTACTATCCACATTCCACACTTCAGATTTTTTTTTCTAGTAATTTTGTTGGCTGAGTGTCTTCATGGCAGTTATTCTTCTCACTTTTGAGAAAGAAAAATAAAAAGACATTTTCATATATTCAAAAGTCTCAAGACAAGTTTACTCAGTTCCATTATCGTCTTAACCACACTGCAAACATCTGATCACTCTGACTTTTGTAAGTAGTTTCTGAAGAAATACACATTAAGCAAGGTTAGAAAGATGACAAAAATGCCAATAAATTATAAAAACATAATTTAGAGGAAAAAAACTATTTTCTAGGTATAAATAGGTGTAGATAAACAAATTACAATATTTAAGGAGGTTATTAGTTTAGATTTTGTGATTGAAAGATTTTTACTGTGAAGTAAAAATGTGAAGTACAATCTTTCCAAATGTCTTCTTTTCTGCCACTAGAGGGTACTCCAAGAACTTACAGTGTATTTGAGGAAGGATTTATTTGGAGGGTTTTGTTCTTTAAATTATCCAGAACTGCTGTCCTACTAAATCTTAAGAATTTAACCCCCCAAAATCTTGACATTAAATAAAAACTTTCAAAACCACTCTAATGCAACTTTTCAGCAAAATAGTGCAGTGTATCCAAATTATAAAGAACATTGATTGACATGTAGTTTAGATTTAAACTTATCCTACTTTTAAATTATCTTAATTACTATCTTTTCTTTATTTCAGACACAATTTTCTGGTTCACATCCTGTTTCTTCATCCAGGTTTGGACAAGGCATTCCATTATTGGCAGGCTGAAGAAGTACAAAACGAGTTCTGATCTTGGTCCCTGTTTCTCTGCAAACCCCTCTGCAGAGCCCCCAGGAAGACCATTGTGAAACCTCGCAGTCCAGAGGTGTTTCTGAAATGCACACACCAAAAAGGTAACTTTACATCAAGCTGTGCTTGAGTCAAATACACAGTTGGAAAAGCATTAAGGAATGATCATAAAGCAGCATCCTTTCTTATACAAAATACATGTGATATCCCTCAAATCAGTGTGTTGTCTCATAAATTAAAAAAAAGGTCTGGTTTCAGCTCCTAAACTTATTGGTATTATTGTTATTGCAGTCTAGAGCCTGTTTGAGGTATTATATCAGTTCTCAAGCATATTA